TACTTATAAAGAGCATGTAGAGCCTTTAAGTATTACTGAAAGTAAGTATGAGTTTTGGGTCAGATAAGATAATATTTCTTGAAAATATATAAGGAAAGAATCTTAGTAAATCTATCTAAGGTAGAAGTAGTAATTGACTTCAATTGACTAATATAATTTAGGTAAGAAGCTTACTTAGGATGACATGTTATTATAGATTTATGTGGGAAGATTATCTAAGTTAATATCACCTCTCACGTAATTGACAAGAAATAATATTAAATCTAAACGAACTTAGGCTTGTAAAAATAGTTAATAAGAACTAAAAAGAAGATTAATTTTAGCTCCAATTCTTATAGTACCATCGAGATCAGGCGAATTTGTAGTGTACAGTGATATATCAAAAAATAACTTAGGATATATTTTAATACAGAATGATAAAGTTATAGTTTATGTCTCAAGATAACAAAAATATTATGAGAAGAATTATCCAACTCATGATTTAGAATTGATAGTGGTGATGTTTATTGTAAAAATTTAGTGATATTATTTTTATAGGAAGAAATACAAAATATATATGGAGCATAAAAATTTAAAATATTTTTTTACTTAAAAGAATCTGAATATGAGACAGAGGAGATGATTGGAGTTAGTAAAGTATTATGATTATATGATCAATTATTATCCTGAGAAAGCAAATGTAGTTGCTGAAGCATTGAGTAGAAAATTAACCAATTTAGCTACTTTACTAACGATTCAAAAACCTCTCTATAAAAAACTATAAAAATTTAAATATGAGACAATCCTTAAAAGTTTAATTGAAATATTAATAGTGCTATCATTACAGCCAATCCTTTTAGAAAAAATTAAAGAATTATAAGTGAAGTACTCTTACTTAAACTAATTGAAGTCTGATATTGAGATAGAAAAATATATATATATTGATGAAGGGGTAATCAGATTTCAAGGTAAATTATGTATACTATGGGATCCTAGCCTAAAGCAAGAAATTTTAATAGAGGCATATTCATTTATAAACTCAATGCATCTTGAAACAACCGAGATATACAGGAATATAAAAGAGCACTACTTATAGTTAGAAATGAAGAGAGATATAATTTAATTTGTTGAGAAGTGTTTCATATGTCAATAAATCAAAATCGAACATCAGAGATCAGCAAGTACTTTGATATCATTTGATGCATTATATGGCAAAAAGTGCAGATCACCTATTCATTGGGGTGAGACAAGTGAAAAAAAATATTTAGGGTTAGATTTAATGAGAGAAACAATATAAGCAACATAAAAGATTCTTCAAAGAATAAAAGCAACACATAGTAAATAGAAATGTTATATAGGAGAAGACCTTTGAAATTTAAAATAGATGATAAACTATTCTGTCCAACTAATGAAATGAGTTATGAGATTTGAAAAGAAAGATAAGCTAAATCCATGATATATAGGATCATATGAACTTCTTAACCAAATTGGTGATGTGGTTTACACTAGTCTTACCTCCTACATTAGTAAAGTTACGTAATATATTTCATATATCAATATTGAGGAAGTATAATTTAGATCCTTCTAATGTCTTAGAAGAATAACTAATAGAATTGAATGAAAATTTAACATATGAGGTTGAGTTGTACATGTTCTTAATAGAAAAGAGAAAAAACTTGGTAATAAGAAGATTGCCTTAGTCAAAGTGTTATAGAGGAAGTAACTTGGGAAAGAGAAAAAGAGATACGAGAGAAATACCTAAAGCTAATCAAATAAAAAATTTTGAGGATAATTTTTTTATTAGGAGGGGAGGATATCTTACATATATTAAATTATAAATAGTATACCAATAGAAATACAAACAATATATATATATATATATATATATATATATATATATATATATATATATATATGTTACCCTCGATATGATTTGTAATGTCTACGCTTCATAAATATGATAAATAATAAGCTTGTATTTTTAGTTTTAAAGATTTAAGTATATACTTTCAAAAAATATCATTCTCGTGTTCTATATAATATTGGTTAAGTATGCATAAGTATTAACATTTATATTAAGTATAGTACAATAAGTCAAAGTGTACTTGCAAACTTGTATACAAGGTTAAGTTATCTTAATATTTAGTATAGAATGAATAATGTCTTAAGTTTTTATATTAATTTTAAAACGTAAAGTGATATGTGATGTGATTAATGTTATGCAGATAAATCAATCTTGATTATTTTTCAGATTAAATACATGAAGTTTATGAGACTAAATTTTTTATTTAGAAGAAAGAATATAATGTTTTTATTTTCTAAAGACTTATTTATAAATATAGATATTACAATAACTAAATTACAAAAGCTACGAAATAAAATAAATAAATAAATGGAGCTTTCTTCCCATCGCCTCCAATAGATATACCCTCTATCTTCCTCACGAGGAAAAAAGAGGCTGCGTCGGTGGAAGATAAGGGAGAAAAAGAAAATGGAGAAAAAGAAAGGGAAGAAGAGAAGGGATGAAGGAGAGAAGGGGAGAGGCTGTAGTGGTGGAAGAAAAGGGAGAAGGGAGAAGAAGGAAAGGGAAGAAAAGAAAAAGGAAAGAGGGAAAGGAAAAGGCTGTGTGGGTGGAAAAGAAAGGAAGAAGGCTGCGTCGGTGGAAGAGAAGGGAGAGGCTTCATTGGTGGAAGAGAAGGAAGAGGTTGCATCGGTGGAAGAGAAGGGAGAAAGGAGAAAGGAGAGGAGGAAAGGAAGAGAAGGGCCGTTGCTGTGGGCGAGAAGGGAAGAATAGAGAAGAAGGAAAGAGAGAAAAAGAAGGGAGAAAGGGGAGGAGGATAACAGAAGAGAAGGGGGCTGTGACTATTGGAGAGAAGGGAAAAATAGAGAAGAAGGAAAGAGAGGAAGAGAAGAGAGAAAGAGGAGGAGAAGAGAAGAGAAGGGAGCTGCGGTTGTGGGGGAGAAGGGAAGAATAGAGAAGAAGGAAAGAGAGAAAAAGAAGAGAGAAAGAGGAGGAGGAGAAGAGAAGAGAAGAGAAGGCAACGACTGTCGGGGAGAAGAGAAGAATAGGGAAGAAGGCAAAAAGGGAAAGAATAGAGAAAAAGGAGAAGGGAGGAAGAAGAAGAGATGAGAAAAAAGAACATAAGATAAAAGGAGTCACTGAAGGAAAGAGAGAGACCCGCGAAGAAGGAAGAAAGAAAGAAAGGAAGGAAATAAAAATAGGCAGAAAAAGAAGGAGATTTAATATGAGGTATAATGGTATTGAACGATAGATCCCAAGTTATTCTCTTAGTCTCAAAAAAATCTAATCCTATGAGTTGGAGAAAATTTACTGTTCTTTAGTATACTCAATCATTAAAGAATATATTATTTCACTAAGATCTTCATTTTTGAGTTAAATTAGATAAGTATAAATTTAATTTACTGTAAAATATTGATCGTATAAATTATCGTGCACATAATATATTTTGAAAAGTATATTTCTAATGATTAAATCATCATGAGCTCGTCATGAGTGTTTGTATTTTGTAATCATAAAAACATATGAATTGTAATAAAAATATCTTGTATATATACATATATGATCATGTGCGAATGATATGATTGTCATCAGATAAATATGCATGTGTGTATTTTGTAAGCATAAAAATATATAAATTATGATAAAAATATCTTTTATGCATGGATATACGATAATGTGCAAATGATATGATTGTCATGAGTTAAACGTGAATATATATATTTTGTAGGTATAAAAATATATAATCAAATATATATTATAACATACAATATGAGAATGAACATATATATTATGATGTGTTACATGAGAGTACACATGTATTATAACGTGCAATGTGAGAATACATGTATGTATTATAATATACAATATGAGAGCACGTGTATATATTATAACGTTGAATGTGGGAATGCACGTATAAATTATAACGTATGATATGAAAGTGCATATATATATTATAACGTGTGGTGTGAAAGTATACGTATATATTATAATATAAGATATAGAAGTTTATGAATTTGTTATACTTCCTAAGTATGCATATGAGTATTTTAAATTATAATTTTATGTTATACTATGTTGTAGGGTTATACTTGCTAAAAAAAATCATTATATGAGATATTTACCATTAAATGTCTTATACCTATGATTTTAAAATATTGTGCATATGTAACGATGCATGCTCACATAAATAAAGTTATAAAGACTTATTAAGTAATTACTTATTATAGATACTATTTTACGGGTAATGATACTAGAATCCACCCAAGTGATTAGATAGGGAAATGAGTATGTGTAAGCGTAGACCAACACAAATATGGATGATGATCTATCAGCATTTTTGTATATATAAATTTTGAACATATTTTATTTATATTTTTATTTAGATATTATATATATATATATATATATATATATATATATATATATATA